CTCTCCATCCCTTTCTCTCTCCATCCCTCTGCCCCACTATCCCTTTCTCTCCCTGCTGGGCGGGGTTTGTACGCTTTGGGGCGCGCGGCTGGCGACAGCAGCATAGCGGTGGGCGGGGGTGGGGGTGCATCGATCTGCCCCCGCGCCGCCCCGCCCCGCGCCGCCACGCGCCGCCACGCCCCCGCGGGAGGTGGGGTGGGGTCCTATCGCCATCCTCTGGCCCCCGCCGCTACTGGGCCTGCTCTGCGGTGCCACCCCTGCCCCGCCCCGCCCGGCCCCTGCCCTGCCTGACGGCCTTGGTAGGCGGGAGCACGGCGCGGGCCTCCTGGACGAACTGGCCCGACCGACTGGCCCAATGTCCATTTAGGGGATGAAATACAGGGGAGTCCCCCCCTCCTGGGTGGGGCGGCCGGGCCCTGTGCCGGAGGCTGAGACGGCGTCGGCGGCCTTCGGCTTCCCGCCGTCCACCACTCCCACCCCGCAGCGCAGACTCCATCGAGTTGGTGATTGCACTCTGGGCAATCGCGGGGTGTCCTGGACCCCCCGCCTGGTCCTGACCCACCGTTGTCATGGCAACCACCATGCAGGCGCGCGGGGCGGGGCGGGGCGCCTGCATCTGGCCTGGCCTGGCCGCCCGCTGCACCGCCCCGGCGCGGCCGCGCTCGCGGCTGGTCGCGTCGCGGTGACAGCAGCGCTGCGGCTGCCCTGATAAGCGCCTCGCGAGCGCGACGCGCCACTTTGGCGCTGATATGACCTCCGCCGCACCGCGCCGCGCTGCTGGGTGATGTTCCCCCGGGCGCGCCGCGTGAGTCGCCGACCGCGACGGCCATACCTCCTCCCTTGAGGATGATGCCGTGCCTGCTGAAGCCCGCCGCGGCTGTCGTGTGTACACTCCTCCACTCTATGTGTACTTAAATTATATAGGTTTTACTGGGATGGTATTTGATTTGCTCCAGAGCAAGTAATTGTGTTAAAGGCAGCAGAGTTTGGTGTATAACTCAT